TACTATCATTAAACGCCAGTGCCAGCAGACATTACGAAAAATTCGTAAGGCTTGGTTCCTTCCGTAGATCAGTTGTCCGGGTTTCTCTCTGTGGCATTACAGTACATTTACTTTGTATGCCCGTAAAAATATACATAATTTCATTAAGAAAGAAGATATCCATAATATTAACTTTAGAATCAAATCCAAACTCATTGTTTCCTGACCACCTTACCACGATTTCGTTTAACTAAGGTAAGCGGTTTCTTTTATGGGGAACTGTATGTACGGTTTTTACAATAAGATTCCGGGTATATATATGTTAAGATAATAATTTACAATAAAAGTATTTTAATTGAAAAGTAATATTACAATAAAGAGCATGTATTAGATAAAGATGTATGGAAAGGTAACATGAGTCTAGATTCCACACAATTACGATTCAAAGTGTATTGTTTCATAGCATTTAAGTTTATTTGAAAAGAGCAATCCCAAGAGTTTTTTGCTCGTTCTTCTTAGGGAGGTCAGCGTTCAATACAATACAATTCAAAAATTCTTTATTGTACACCAAAAAAGGAAACAAATACAATACAATTAAATTAAAAATAAGCGGTGGTACAATGGGTGGTCTTATCGCTTTAAGCGATTTCTGCCAGACAACCTTTGGGTGGAAGTAATTATATTATTCACAGGAAAAAGACGGCGGTGTCTGAAGAATTACTAATCAATAGATAAAAATCGATAAATAAATGCAAATCCACAAATATTTATAAATAATAAAACCAATACATATATATGAATATCGTAAACTACTACATATTCTTACACCTATAAATATAAAATTTCTAAAACATAACTTCAAAACTTAAGCACTTTAAGTCACACTAAAGTTACAGTGTTCTTTTACCACATTTTTTTAAATTATTCAATGAATTCGCTTGTTGTAGTGTAGCGTAGCGAACGAGCAGTAGCTTAAAAAATGACGTTTTCAAATGTAAACATTTTGCGTTTCTTTTATTTTTTTTATTTTTAATATTTTGTTTTTAATAAATGATTATTTGACTTTGACTTTGTTGAGCGAACGTCAAACACGGTACGCTGAAGGCGTTGGTTCGAATTCAGCAGGATTGAGGGAATTTTTCTTAGTATTCGATCTTATATTAATAATCATCACCGTCGTTAAGCCATACGTTGCACTGTTGAGCACGGGGTTTTTCTTAAAGGGTTAAACCATGGTTTAAGTTATTATTATAATTATTTATTTTCCCCTATCGCTCTGATCATAGATGAAAACACAGTGCCCATTAGAACTTTGCGATCTAAAGCTCTCATTGGTGCTGCAACCGTTATGGAGAGGCGTGTTGTTTACCACCAAGCACCCTACTAGTTCGTCCCGTCACTTGATTAGATAAAAAATAATACCTTATTTACTAAGGTTTTTATTTCTGTGCTAACTTATTTAAATGAAATTGGTATATCATTGTGAGATTGTAGCTCCTGCTATGGAGGTTGTTTGCAGCAAAATCAGTGTTGTACAAACCAAGTATGTACAGCATAAATACTGAGTTCAGAATCCTCGCCGCACAATGCATTAAGTGTAATTAAAATATTTTATCAAAATTCACAAGGTTCAGGTCTGAGTAGGGGTGACTTCGATGACGTCACGTGGCCTGTGAATTCGTCACGACTGGAAAAATGATAAAATAAATAAGATGTTTTATTTAACTGCCTACGTGGCCAAACGGTTACCATGCCAGACTGCCACGCAGAGGTTCCAGGTTCGATTCCCGGGCCGGGAGAAATATTTGTATGGCCTACATTTATTTCTCTCGTGGGTTTGGGTGTAATTTGTGGTTGACTATGTGTGTCCATGGCACCCGTTACCCATGGTTTCCTCAGTGCGGGGCTAGGTTAATCAACCTAGCACAATGCACACAATCGTGTGCGTTATGACTATATTATTATTATTTATGAACCCCCGACCATGCTGCACCGTATTATTGCTCCAACCATCTGAGCCACGGGTCCAGTTATCCAGTCAACGAAATTCTCCTATGCTTTCGTTATAGATCTATGTACTGATTTTCGGCATTCGTCGCATCTAGTGACATTTAGTGAGAGATTTTTGAATAACCTTCTCACCGCAGCCCGCAAAAATGTTCGATCTTTGTATTCATGGTCATAACAAAAAATGCACTTATATCCCAAAAAAAAAACTCAACAAACACAAAGATGATGTTTTTTCTAAATTACAAACAAAAAATATAAAGGTAAACAACCTTGCATGAAATAATTAATCTTGTCAAGCGTCCTGGAGATACACAGTGTCCCTAAAGATTTTGGTAACAAAGTTGGATTTGGCGTGTAGTGTGCAATTATATACATCTGCGTATGCTTTTATACATATTTCAAATAATACGGATTTCTCGATACTATTCCGAACGCGTCTTTTATTACGTCATGCTAAAAAATCTTATTGGTTACTCATGACGTGATATAAATCGCGTTCCGATTTAAAAAATTCTATTTTTTAAATTATTAATCCCACTGCGACATAAATAGAGGGTAATGGTTTACTAAAAGAAACTAAATCCTACATTCAAGGTTTTCAAATGAAATACGACTACCCATATTTAGGCAGTACAGGTAAGATAATAATTCGTTGCACATATTGAATATCTTAAGTAATATAAATGACAGATGTAGTGTCTGTTGTAGTTTATGAGTACAAGTTACGAATATGATCCCATAACGCAGAATGTATTGTAAAAAGGTTTGGCGATTATGGGTTAAAACCAGGACATAGGAGTACCTAGCATTAAGCTGTTGATTAACTGGAATTCATAACACGTCTTCTCGGGTAATTTTCAGGTTAGTTATCTCTATCAAATTTTATTATTTAAGTATTCGAGTATGCTACCATATTCGATACTCACTGAAATATAATAATTATAATAATAATAACGCACACACTCAACATAGTCCCGCACTAGGGAAAGCCTGTGTCCCGGTTGTGGTTGCATAGACAACCAGAAATTACACCCAACTCACGAGAGAAATAAATGTAGGCCGTACAAATATTTCTCACTGTCCGGGTTACGAACTTGGCACCTTTTCTTTGCCTGTTGAATAATACAAGGCAATATGAAATAATACTTTACCATAATAATATTGATAAAAATTGATAAAAACTGCCACCTACATACACTCATACATGAGAAAACTAACCTGAAAATTATGTAATTTCCAGGCTAGTTCCCAGTTAGTTACTTTTAAGGTTAGTTTTTAAGGGAAAGTTCCCACGTTTGGCGTTATTAGTATTAAGAATAAATTTCTGCCGCCAAGCGGTGATGCGAGCATTACTGATGGTTCTGGTTTTGAAGGGTAAGGGTGTTGGTGAAATTGCAGGCATATGGGACTTGTTAACATATGTCTCAGGGAGACAGGCGCAGTGGCAGTATCCCTCAGATCTTTGCTATGTAAGTGGCATTGCAAGTGTTAAGGACAGATGTGTCGCCTAACAACAGTAGTACGGCTTGTTCGTCGTGTCACTTGGTATGACAAAAAAGTCTTATTTTTAACACGTTATAATTTAACATTATAAGTATAGCCGGGTAGATTAATGGTTTGACCTACACTCAAGTGGAGGTCGTGGGTTCTGACTCGAGCTCGCACCTCTGAGTTTCTCGGAATGCGTATAAAATTTATTACAGTTTATTTTCTAAGCATTCCAAAATATACGCTGTCTCATTTTATTTTTTAAATGGCTACACTATTTAAATACGTAGTATTTCTATACTACGTGTGTGTTAAATTGTCTATTTTATGTTCAGGATTGAACGACACAATGAATAAATGCCTTTAACGGTTTTAACACTGTATATTCTGTACTTTGATTACAAGGAATTAATTTTAAATATGTATCAAAAATAACTTTAGCACATGGTCTGTAGCCATAGCATGTAATGTCACTTTTTTAACTTCTCATTGACGTTCCCAGTGGAGTTACCGGCGCGAATACTACGTATTTAAATAATATTGTAGTTGTATTTCTATAAAACTACAATATTATTTTTTGAGATAATAATTTGTAGCGAATACTTAATAGGAAATAATAATTGAACCGTGGCAGCCTAATAATTTGAGTTTCTCGGAATTTGTGTGCGAAATTTTATTTGAAATTCACCATGAGCTTGTCGGTGAAGGAAATCATCGAGATGAACCCTGCACGTCACAGGGTTCACAACCCTCGGAAAACTTGTGAAGCCTCCAACCCGCATTGGCCCAGCATGGTGGACTATGGCCTAAAACTCTCACCTGAAAGGAGATCCGTGCTCAGCAGTGGAACGCATAAAAGTTTTGATGATACTATATGACATGAACATTGTAATAATAATTCGTGTGTGATGTTGCTAGTAGTAGTAGCAGAATTACGTTAGTAATAAGGCCATTTGTTACTAGCTTTGCACGGTTGTTTTTTATCCGTGATAAAATAAATAAATATCTGGTTTTACTGAGATGTTTAAACACGGTGACTGTGAGAAATGTATAATTTGAAAAAGTCTGTTTTCAGCAACCCGGTTTAGTCAAAAATGCGGCCAAAAGCTAGCCAGTAATAAGTTACAGAGATATCTATGCAAAGTCATTCTATAATAAACAAGAAAATTTACAATTTCATATTAATTGTAAATTGACTAACAAATTATTTAGACGAATTTTGTTACGTAATCGATCTAGTTATTCAGTAAATATACACATAAATATGTTGGATATCAGAAAAAAGATTCGTAAATTACGTCTTTGCTACAAAAATAAGTAAACACTTTAAAAAGAAACAGTTTTTAGTCTTTGGTATTAACTGCAAATTGAATAAATACAAAAATTGGAACGTTGTATTTGTCAAAATTGGCGCGCTTCCTGCCACCCTTCCCGCCCTTGAGTTGCCAGTTACTTTTTTCACTGGCGTTCCGTTTCGCACGCGCGCCTTGAAAGTATAAAAACCGCGTACAACGTAATGAGAGCAATCAGTAGCCCTCGCGCAGTCTACTACAGAAGTGCACGATGAGATTTCTGGTTAGTTTTGCGTTCCGAAAATGTTTAATTATAAAAAAAAGTGTTGTGACCTAATACTTGTAATAATAGTGACGTGTATAATGTAATATTCGAATAATATATAATAAACGAGAATATTCACAGTGCAGTGATGAATAAAGATTTAAAGTATGGATTTGGAGATTTGAAAGTGTTCTTTGTGTTCACAGTTTGTTGCCGCCGCCGTCCTCGCCTGCGCCGCAGCCGCGCCATCTGGCGCGCTGTTGGCAGGACCCTATGCCCATGGTCTTATAGGCCACGCGGCGCCTTACGCCGTGGCCCATGCCGCCCCTGTGGCAGTAGCCCACGCTGCTCCCTTGGCGGTGGCTGCTCCTACTATCTCCCCTGGGGACCTCCAAGGTGCCGCCATCGACGCCCATGTGGACGCCAGCGACCACGCTCGTGCGGCTGTCGACGCTGCTCGTGAAGCTCACGACCAGGCTTCCGAACTCCAAGGCCAGGCTATCAACGCTGCCGAAGACCACTCTTGGCAGGCGGTTGATGCCGTGAAGACCCGTGAAGCTGAACTCGACGGAGCCGCCGCTGGCGCCGCACCTATCTTGGCTAAGCAGCTGGCTGGTCATGTTGCCCCAGTGGTGCACGCCGCTCCCTTGGCTTACGCCGCCCCCGCCGTCCACGGGTACGCTGCGCCAATCGCCCACGCCGCTCCCCTGGCCCACGCCGCGCCTCTGGCCTACGCCGCCGCTCCTTATGCCGCTAGCAAGACCGTTGTCTCTCAATCTCTGCAGCAATCCCACCCAGCTCCCCTTATCCATGCCCCAGTTTTGGCCCACGGCTACGCCGGTCATGGTTACGCCGGTCATGGTTACGCCGCGCACGGCTGGTAAACTGTGATAACCATTTAGTCAACCAAATACTCATTTTTGGAATGTAAATTATGTAAAAAATAATGCAATAGAAAGAAGCGAGGATGTGTGAATAAATGACATAGTAATTTTTGTACAAAAATTTCGTATTTTATTCTGTTCCCTAACATTGAACAATAGGTAATAATCACAGCACTATTGAAACTTTAATAAAAAATTTAAAAAAGAATGAAATATAAACTAGAGAAGGAACTAGAGGAAATGAAAAAACGTAACATTAAAATTATGAATAATGCATAAAGGAACTGAGCAAATTAGTATTTTGAATTTACATACAACCTCTTTTGTTTTATAAAGTAGGTAAATGTCGCAAGTCAAGACCATACAAAAAAAATTACGATTTCAAATTCTCGGCCTTATTACCACAGACATTATTAATAATTAGATTTGTAAACGTACGCAGTAATTCAATGTCGAATAAATAAGTTTACGAAAATAATTAATTTAGCACGCTTACAAAGCGGAAGTATGTATAGTTATTTGAACCTTGAACGTGAATTCTTAAACCGATAGACAAGTTTCACAAAGTATAAAAAAAAAATACGGAATTAGAGTGGACCATATAAAAAACCTTAACATGTTCTTAAAAATTAATACTTGTACCTGCTCCAGGAAGTCGTATCTCTGCCATTTTGTTGTTATAATTTTATTAATTTTAAATGCCGTAGGTGTATGTTTACAATGCCATAATTAATTGCGCAATTGTATTACTTTAGAAAATTCATTGTTGCGTAAGATTTTTAACCCTTTAAAAACTTGGTTGATTCCAATATTGTTACATCTATCTTATTGAAGTTTTAAGATTGGAATTTATAAACATTTCAAATACAAAACAAACTCTTTAACTTGCCGAAAGCATTCGTATTGCGTACATATTACCCGTCATTTTCTCGTCTGCAACAGACACGACATGTTTTCGTGGCTAGATCCGACAAAGTTCTTGTCGTGTATACAAGACCATTCTCATCTCTTCTGTAGCAGACACGTCGAATTTGTTAGCGTGTACATGCGCCCTTAGTGACCTTTTTCGTACCCTGACTGGCATTACACAATCTATAAACTTAGTGTCCTTATGTTTACACAATATATGTTAATGTCGTTCATGTAAATAATTTAATTTAATTTTTGTTTTCTTTTGTAATTACATACTTGTATCGTGTGTTGTTTTGACTATGTTTTTTAATACATTTTTTCTTTTTTTCTAGTGTGGTGTCATTTGTGGTAGTAAAATAAATGTATTGTCCATTTTCGCAACGATTAGTTCCTTATTTTATGATGCAATTACAAAAAAGTCAAATGTGTAACATCTGTCTTTTTTGTCAAGAGCAAAAATCTAGCGCGAGGCAGTCGAGAATTCACTTTCGTTCGAACTTGAACTTGAGATGCGCGGGCGACGACCTATCCAGTGATACGGAAAGGAAGCGTAAACGTGGTAGCATCTGACTTGTATTCTCACTCAGTATTGCAAGTTCCATTTCTGGCAAGGGCTTGAATTTTAAATATAAGGTTCTGAAATCTAGACTAGTATTAAACTTCAGGGGAAGAGCACTACAAACACGCATTAATAGTATCTGACCAAACAGACAACAACGCTTACAACTCAACGACAAAAATCCTCTTCATTCCCCCGCCCAAAATCATAAAAATCCTTTACTAGCCGTGGCTTATAGCGGCGTAATTAGCAATCATAAAATTAAGATGTCAATACAATTACCTTCAAAACAAATACTTCTAATCATTTTCTAATAGTTCCAATTACATTCTACGACTTCAGTGTTTATATAATTTCAATGTTTGATAATTGACAAATTACACTGTTATAATTTAACGTTATGACTAAAGCATATTCGTAAAATGTGAGGAAGCTCCGGAAGAAACAACAGGCGGCTACTAGAAGTATGTATATAATACAATTACGAATTTAAAATCAGTATGAATAAAAACAACTATTAAAATTATGCAAAGGCTTACTGCATTTTGATTGATGCATAACTTGAAATTAAATATTAATTTAGTATTTCAATAATTATAATGTACTTGTGATGTTTAATTAATGTCGTTGATAAGTAACATGTGATCAGGCTTTGGGTGTATCTTGTAACACTGGATGTCACTAGCAGCTCGGAAAGCCGAACAATTGAATAAAAAGATCTTTAACAAAAACACATACGAGAATTTCGACAACTCGATAACTTGACCCGTAGCTCAGTTAGTAAGAGCAATACTCGGTGCAGTAGTGATGGCCTCCGCGGCTTGCATACCGGTTTTTGTGGTGCCGAGATCTCTGAGGTCCCGGGTTCGATCTCAGGCCGGGTCAGTAGAAAACTAACTGTTCTATATTGTCTCGGGTCGGTGTGTTTGTGGTACTATTGTTGTTTCCGATTTCCATAACACAAGTGCTTTAGCTACTTACTTTGGGATTAGTGCAAAGTATGTGGTGTTGTCTAATTTTTATTTATTCATATTTGTATGGTCGTGGGTTCAAGTGCCATCGTTCGTATTCGATCTTTGTAGTAATTATTATAATAAAAACTAGTTATTTATTTCACAAAAAATGTGAACAATAGATAGTGACGGCGAAGAAAAATCCTTAAAAACGATCCATGCATAGCGGTGGGTGGTATACTGTGTGATACAGAACGGTAAAAAAATCGAAAATATTCATAAACAATTCCACGTATAGTCATGAAAAAAGAAACGCCTAATAAAATTATAATAGCAAATAGACTAAACAAGGATGGTGCAAGAATCTAGTTCACAGGTGACGCGTTGCAAAATTTTGTATGCATGTGACGTCGGATTATACAGATACCTGTTGGCAACAAACGGATGTATAACGTCGTGGGATTGCATAAGTCGTAGCTACCGCCGCACGCAACGTCTCGCCTGTCTTTACAAAAGACTGGCGTTGCAATTACGAATTAAAACGACTTATCGCGAAAATACGATAGGATGAAGTTCTCTGACTTGGATGAAATAATTTTTGTGATTAATCCATTTGTGAACCGATTTCCACGATTCCTGTTTGTAGGAAAGGCGGTACCTCGTTCCACCTTTAAAGGTGGTAATTTAGGGGTGAATGCAGTTGATTGGATTTCATCCCCTTTCTGTTAACCGATTTTAAGGCAAATATGTTATTTCACAAACATCAGTTTTTTTATAAAAAAAAAATACAATTATTATTAGAAATAGTCTCTTAGAATGTCAGATGTCTCACATGATAATTACAAAGTATTTTTAACCAACTCCAAAAAAAGGAGGAGGTTCTCAATTTGATAGTATTTTTTTTTGTATGTAACATACATACGCGATATCTTTATGAACCGATTTCGTAGGTTTTTTTTTGTTGGAAAGAGTGTGTAAAACATACAGCAAGTACACAACGAAGAAATATTACTTGAAAAGAAAATTAATTAAAAAAAAAATTATTAATTAAATTACCATAGTATTTATCAGAGTATTTCATTGCTAAATTATTTATGTAGGTATGTTAGTTTGTCAAAAAATTAAATTTATTTTGTAATTGTTGTTTTGTTGCAACATTTATAATTGTCGTGTTTACAACAATTATAAGTGTTGCATTTAAACAACGTATTTTACCTACCACCAGGGAAGTAAAGTTCGAAGATGACTGTATTTGTACTATTAGTTATTACAATGGTGCAAAGACGCGGATGCACGAGAACGATGGTATTTACTGACATTCCAATACCATTTACTGGTAGAGTTAAGAGAACATCTAGTCTGAAACTTTTGAACTTTGGACAGTTCCAGGGGGTCCTGCTCTCGAATCTATTTATTTATTTCCTTAACAAAATAGATTGTGTTGGAAAAAAAGTACAATTACAATTAAAAACGTACATCAAATACAAAATAATAATAACACAATAATAACAACAATGTCAAATTAGATATCCTTATCATGTTTAAATGTAACTTAAAGTCAAAAGCCTCCAACAAAAAATTTATCAACGCAATACAATGATTCATCCAAAAAGAAATGCCTCAAACTCTTTTTGAATGATATAGAACCCTATGCTGTTTAAGTTCGGCAGGGAGACTATTAAACATTTTTGCTGTTTGATATTTTGGACCATGTTTAACAATATTTAACTTTGGTGCTATTACATCACGTCTGTTCTTCCTCCTAGTAACAAGCCCATTTGACTCGGTCTTATTACTAAATTCAAACGAACTTTCAATCAAGCCTGTTAACAACTCCAAAATATAGAGACAAGGAACCATTAATACAATCAATAAAATGAGAAAAGTAGAAACCCCAGTTAGGTTTCTTAAACGTTTTCAAACTGTCTTAGCCTAATTGTTCTAGGTAGTGTTGTTCAGAATTAATTGCGTCAGTATTTATAGGGAATTTAAAACTCAGTGCGAGGCAATGACCTCCAGTCTAGATATTGTAATGAATCGCATGTTCCCAAAAAATCTGCTTTTTTTAAAATAAAATCAAGTGACCGGACGAACAAGTCGTGCGCCTGATAGTAAGCTAAACGTCTGTCCATAACAGTTGTAATGCCACTCAGAGCTTTAAGCCGCAAAGATCTGAGGGGCACTTCCACTGCGCCCATCACCCTGAGACATAAGTTGACAAGTCCCATGTGCCTGTAATTACACTTGTATAGGCATAACACGATTTTTCCATACTATAGATATAACATAGGTGTAAAAATAATCTAATTCTCATATCGACTAAGAACAATTACGGTTCAAGATGTAAACCCTGATGAACCCATGAGACGCCACAGGGCGAAACTAGACTTACGAAAGGCGCCATCGTCGTGAGAGTATGACGCAACATTCGTATAATGTGTCTGCTTTGTTACAGGACTTGTGTATATCATGTGGCATAATCATTTTGCGCATAAATCCACATAATTATATGTATGCAAAAATAATGCATAAAATTGTTACGCCCTTAGCGTGACCATTTAGTTTGGAGCTCTGTAGTCTTATTATACGGTATAAAATCAAGAGTCATCTTTTAGTTATTTTATACATTGTTTTGTACGGTGAGTTTTAAATATTTTTTTTTTATGAAACCCTTGCGTGGATATGTGGTAATGAAATGAACACGAACGCCTAGAAGATAACTACTTATTCACTTAGAGTTTAAAAATATCCAGATTGCACTGGGCCAAGAGCACGTCAAGTCTGATACTTAAGATTTTAAATCAACTCTATGCCGCTTACAATACGAGAGCCTCAAAATCTAATGTTAAACTTGATGTGCTCTAGATTGTACCATTCGGTAATATAAAACGCGACAAAGACTTCCTCAGCTATACGCATAAAAATATAGAGCATAACGTTTTAAAACGCTATTTATTTTTCTTATATTGTCAGAGCCGAGTTGCCGACAATACGCGATGTGGCGAATTGGTATCTAGATGCCACATCAGAATTATCTTCAAGAGCAGTCTGGTTGCACTTAAGTGCTCTTAAATATGTAAATAATAGTGGGTCCGTGACATTGAACAATTGAGGCGGCAATGAAATTGTATTCACAATTTTTTTTACAATTTTATTGCACCTTTACAAACCAAGACTTCTGTATAAATAATTGCAAACCATACAATGTTTCAGGCACATCTAATGTGCTTCACACATTACTATCAAATAGTAATGTTTCTTTCATTGAAGGAATTTCATCTTATTGCGTAAGGGTCCGTCTTAAAGTGAACAACTCATATCATCAAATATGGCGTCCATCATATGTCAAAAAGCGCGCGCTTCCTGCATTCCCGCCTTCGTTCTTTTTTTACTTTTTTTTCTCTAAACGACACACTGGTCATCCGGCCAGTTTTATATAGTATTTTGTGCTATGTACATTATTATATACGAAGTTGGAATATAAAAACAGATCATGAGAGGAAGGCGTCCAGTAGCCTTCGAGATATCTTTGCAAGATGAGAGTACTGGTCGGTGGAGTTTTCTTTGTCTTTTGTGTTTGTTTCTGGTGTGTGTGTGTATAGCAAATATGGAAATATATCTGTGTCCGTAATTAAGTTACAATCTTTGAACTACTTTAACGTATTTAAAGATAGTAACTTTAAAATATTTTTAGCTTGCATTTGAAAACAATTATTATTTAGAGAATATTTTGGACGTTTGTTTTATACAAACGAATTCGAATTTGAATTTTAACGTTTCTTTTTTTAAAAAAGAAATAGTGCTGTGACAAAAACGTGATATCCCAAAATTTGCCGTTACGCACTAAATAATTTATTGTGAAAAATATAATAAATGTAAAAAACAAATGGATGTTTCTAATCTAACATTGATATGCATGAGGAGTCTAATTAGTCTGCTGTCATTCTGTCCAATAGGGGTTGAGGATTTTAATTCTATTGACTAAATATTTTCAGACTGGATTTGCTTAAGGGGAAACCTTTGTTCTTCCTATTCTATCTTAATCATACAATAAATTATTCAGCAGCCAGGCATAAAGTACGTCGTAGATAAAAAAAAATATAAACCGAAATAGAGTAATATTTTTGGGAACATATCAGTATCAATAAGTTGAAAAATAACATACGAAATAAAACTAATATATGTTTTATAATTTTGGTTGTTAAATATTTTCTTAAATCAATTTTCTTAATTAAATTGTTAATTTTCAAATTATTGAGATGATTATTAATTTAAGAAACGAAATAAAGGAACAATGTACATTAACTGCATGAAAATGGACGTCTGTACTAACATTACTTACCAATAACCTTATGACAATTAATTACATTCACAATTAAGTTATTTCGTTGCCCCTCCTTCACAATGTAAGACACAAACCACAACTATAGTCAATATAGTCATGTGTTACCTATCTACTTTTTTCATCATCATCACTGATGATGGTTGATTGCGGATTTTTTTTTAATAGTATCAAGTGACGGTACGCCTCGTGCGCCTGATGGTAAGCTACACACCTGTCCATAATAGTTGCAGTGCCACTCAGAGCTCTAAATCGCAAAGATCTTAGGGGCACTGCCACTGCGCCCGTCACCCTGAGACATAAGTTGACAAGTCTCATGTGCCTGTAATTTCACCAGCACCCTTACCCTTCAAAACCGGAACACAATAATGCTAACATTACTGCTTGGCGGCAGAAATAGGTAAGGTGGCATTACTTTCCTGGACGAACTCTTTCACAAGGAGCTGTAATTACTAAGGTAATTACTTTTGAGGTCGGTTTTTCATTTTATTATATGACGTGCTGGAGAAAAAAACTATTGATATTTTGTTAACAGAACAACTGTAAATTAATTAAAAAAATAATAATTGGAACAATAAACTTCAAACTCGACTTAAGTGGTCTAGTAGGCAGCTGTTTTTATTAATTATTTATTTATATTGGTTTATATTATAGTGTTGTTATAGATTTGTAAATATCCGAATTATTCGATATACCAAAAAGTAAGAGAACTGTCGAAAATAAATACAAGGATTTATTTTATTTTTTATTTAGTGTTTCTGCTAACAATTGAAAATAAATGTATTGTATAGGTGAGCAAATTGCGCTTTAAATCTATTAAATTCCCTTTAGTATGTTTTTAAAAATAAGTAAGTAATTTTAGGAGTTATTCTTTGTAAATAAATATTTGTTTACATTTATCATTTGTACTTAAAATGCTTACAGCTAGAAATAATTTGAAAGAGCTAAACCGATCATTACTATGATTTTTCACCATTAGCACAAAGTTTTTGTTTCAAGATAGTTTTAAACCTTGTATATAACAAATATTAAATGGATTTATGACTTGTGACGACGACTGTTACTTTATTTTTGTAGCGTCATTTTTTGGAACAAAATCTATATTTTCTTAAGGTGTGATGTCAGTGGAAGAATTTATTAATATGCTATTTTGTGAACGCAGTTACTCAAATGTAGACTACCTTTGTTATTACTTATTATTTTATGACTTTCTTTTGTGAATGTAAAAAATATAGAGATCCTGCTCTAACTCATTCGCTACATGGTAAATGAACGAACTAACAATACTACGACTAACTACGTCATAATAATATTGTGTCAAGCGATAGGTAAACTAACTGTAATAAAAAGCAAACGGGTGAATTACAACGCCACTACCATATTTGCGATGTGTCAAATAAAAGATCTAACGCTATTTAGGAACGCATTTTCTAGAAGTTCCTATGATTCCTTGCCACACCATAAGAACACCAGTGTTGGTGGTGGTAATTCCGTGTAATAGATAGAACAACATTAGAATGCCAAACATAAAAAACACAACACTTTAACAGAAGTAAGATAATGTATTTGTATTTTAATTCGAAATACCGGAACGTAGCACAACACTAGAAACAGCCTTGGTGTCAATTGGCTATCTATTGCGATGCATATATATTAAAATAATTTAAATTTATAATTGTTTCGATTGAATTTATCATTCGATTTTTATTAGTGCAAAAGTTTGCTGTTTTTAATTGATTGATACATTGACAGATAGGCGTTTTAATGTAGTGATACTATAATTATAAAATATTATGATTTGGTAGATGGTCTTTTTACTCTGGTACCGTTTAAACTACAAAATGAAAACATTTTGTAATACTCAAATATATAAACAAACAAATAAATATAATTTATGAATTTTAATTTGCCCACATACATAAAAAACATAATTTCAAATTGGCTAAACACATAAACAAACAATTTTTTTTAATGAGACTAAAGCCGGTTTTACATTTGTCTGACGTGTCGTGTCGTGACGCGTCAGAACGGTATCGGTTACATACACACAGCACAAGCCGTCACGTCAGCTTGCGACACACTAATATTAATCTAACCATATTAAATGTATGAAACCGATACCGTTCTGACGAGACACGACACGGCTTGTCAGACAAATGTAAATCCGGCTGAAGTGACGGGACGAACAAGTCATGCACCTGGTGGTAAACGACAGGCCTTTGCTTCTCGGTCGAAGAGAGCCCATCGACGACGATACGCGATAGATATAGAAACCGTACTTCGGTGACTAGACAGAGTAGTAGTGCGAAAAAACTGCTTCATATAACATTGGTGGTGATCTAGTTTGTTTCCGCGCAGGAGACATAATTGAGCGATTGATGATTGAGAGATTGATTGATACATGTTCGTGAATTGTTTTTTTTTCTTGAACAAAAGACTTATTTTTTTATTTTCATCAGCAGGGTATTCACTAATAAATAGCTACTACAATAATAACAAATGAATGTCATAAAGAAATTAAAAGATGCAACCGAGAAGTTTGCTGCTTTAACAGTTCTCAGTTTAACTCAGCTTTAAATCACAAAGCTCTGAGGGGCACTGCCACTGCGCTGAACACCCTGAGACATAAGTTGACAAGTCCCTTGTGCCTGAAATTTAACCATGTGCATTCTAAATTGCCCAAACATATGATACATTAAACACATTACCTGAACACCTTATGCAGAAAATATTTAATATGTAAAAATGTAAAACAATGCAAAAACAGGTTGAAGGCATTTTTCATCAAACACTACTACTGTTTGATGAAAAATGTGACCAAGTATTAATATTGTTGGTTATTGTTGTTAGTAGTAATATCAGTTAATGTAACAGTTACAATGTTTCTTGTTTAATATTATTTCTTTTAATTTAGTATAATTTTATTTTTGTTTTTATAAAAGAAAGCGCTTTATGCTGTACGATGACTGTAGCCACCTACGTATAAACCAGTTAAGGGATTGCAGTAGGTAGGTTAGATTTAAGAACCAATGTAAATAATTTTGTATTGGAAAACAAATGAAAAAAAAATTAACTAAATAAAAGTTGTCAATTTCAAATTGACGAAACATATAAACAAAGTAACGACAGAAAAAATGATTTTGACCTCTTAAATGTTCCCGTTGATGTTCCTTTTGTATCGACAGAAGAAATAAATGTTAAAAAGTTCGCACCGTACTTAACGTATTTATATAGCGACAAACAAAAAATCAATAATCAAATTTCAATTTTAACACACAGGTACTAGCAGCGCTAATCGCATGCGCGTACGCGGCGCCATCTGGCGACGCTTTCGAAGTGCCTGCCGTCCAGATTGACGATCCGGACGACGTGCAAGCTGCCGCTATTGATGCTAAGGTATTTCAAATCTTATACGTATTACCATTAGGGCAATAGGTACAGTCGGTGCCCTCACTTATGTATCCACTATTTGTAATAAGTGCTACGCAAATAGTGGATACTTAAGTGAGGGCACCGACTGTACACGTTTTCTTTAAGGAGATCGTTAAGCTACCGTATATTATGCTATTCCAGCGATATCTAAATTTGAGAAAGAGGAAAAGAATATAGATTGAAGTTAAGAAGGTGCGTGTTAATAAGCCTCTTGAGATAGTCATATATGTTCGAAGCATCGAGTATATAACCAGAAATAGAGACGAAATGTAATTTAATTTGTTTGAAAACTATTCTGCCAAATCATTACTGTGACAACTGCGCTCCGATTGGCCAGCCCGAATTCGAAACAATTGACAGGTATTGTCAATTGTTTCACTTCAAATCGACCAGTTTAACTTGAGCTTTACTATAATTGACGAAAATTGAAAAATTACATATCGTTTGTTTTGTAATTAGATGTTTTGCTGTTTCTCCCCACACCACCGAATGGAACAGCACGCCATTGTTAGATATATTATCTTTATTACAATAATACAGAATATTTTTGGAATATACGGAGACGTACACACATGTCAGTTGTTGGCGCTGTCTATATTTCATTGCAAACGAGAGTTGATATTTATAAGTGATGTTTCACTGATGAATTACCAGGCATGTATGGCCCTTATTACGTCTCTTTTTCTGGTTATATACTCGATGGCTCGAAGCTTGGGCTTGTATAACAAAGAAGGTTCATTAACCAAGAAAATTTGAAGGTAGGTCGACAGCATACCATCCGTCCCATGGTGTGGAATCGGTCGCTATGCAACCCCTTATAGATTATCTAGATTGGTTTCTAGGGTTTACAAGTCAGGTGTCCCACGAAAATAGGATTTCGTACACAAAACTACTCGCCAATCTTATACCAATCATTGTAACAACTTGCTTGTGCGTTTCAGGGTACAAGCAATGCCACCTATTAGTGGCACTCGATCTAGGAAATAAAACTATTTTTCGAATCTAAATCGCATATATTAGTTTTTTTCAAACAAACCAACGTTTCCCTTTGCGGGTCCCGTGGTCACTGGTGATTTAAATGCATCTGTTTTTTTTGTCATCGGTAAGAATAATAAAAATTTCATAAAATGTTTGTTGCCCTAAATTAACCTGCTCTAAAGTCGACGCCAATCGGGATTTTTGTAAACGAATCAACCATTTCCTCATGCTCTTACTGGATGTTCCCATTGGTAGGAGCACAAGGCTCCACATCCAGTAAGAGCTAACTAACTAATATGTCTTTATGCTTCTACACCGGTAAGACCAAAAGGATGAATATTATCCTCGTGCTTCTACTAATTTACTGTCACCTATATTTATATAATTGATATTGCAGTACTTGTATGTATGCTATCGATGTTCTAAGCTTATCTTCATCTTCAGAGGAAACTGAATTTCCATATATTTTACAAACAATGAAACTAAAGTAATTCTACTTGTTATTTTCACAATGCCATGCCAGTAATTATGTTATCAGTTTAAAAGAAATAATAGAATACATAACTTACAGGTGAAAATCGACGACGCAGCCCAATTTGCAGCCGACGAAGCCCGCGCACTAACGGAGCAAGCAATTGAGAACCAGAAAGACACTATTAACGAGTCTATTGACATAGCAAAGGAAAATACCGAAGAAGCCTTCTGGTCTATTGAAGACAAGAAATGGCAAGCTCTGAATGCTGTACAGACAGCTGAAGCCAAGCTTGATGGGTCGATTGCAAGTAATAGTCAGGCCCTAGCCAGATCTTATAATTTTGTTGTGCCTTATTTGCAAGGACCTGTGGTGTCCCCTATAGCTCCGATTCACCCTGCAGCTCCTATAGGCCCTATAACTCCTATAAACACTTTATCTCCTATAGTTTATGCAACTCCAGGAATTATACAAGCCGAGAAATTGAAGATTTTAAAGGAGGAAAAAAAAGAATTGGAGAAGAAGATTGAATATTTGGAGAAAGAACAAGAGAAGTATGAGATGATAGAGAAACAGAAATATGAATTGTTGGAGAAACAGAAATACGAAATGATGATGAAGGAGCAAGAGCAACAAACATTGGTGAAGACGGCAGACCTGGAGAAGGATGGCGAGAAAAGGGCGGAGTTGGAAAAGAATTTGAAGGAGAAACCAGCAGTTTTGCTTTATAGTGTGTTGCCTCAGCCTTGGTCGCAACCTCTATATGTGCAGGATCCTCTTGTTTTGAAATAATGGTCAAAAATGAGAAGGAATTAAAAAGCTTTTTGGTGCTATGAGCCGTTTTATTTGTTGTGTATTCAAATTTCATTTTTAGTCCACCCTCAGTAATGAAGGTAAAGGTATAATTCGAATACTAACATTTTTGTTAAACTGACAAAGGAAATTGAAAAAACTAACGTACACAGTATTTTTTCTGTTTAACAGTAAAATAACGGGAACAGATGTGCAAAAGCGTGCTGAACTTCCGCAATTGATGAAGCAGAAGCAGGCGTCTGTTGCACCACTAGTAAAGACGGAAAAATAAGCCAAATGGTGTCTATAATGTAGATAACCATGGTAATGATCTGGTCTCAAACTAAAGGATTACAAAAACCGGAGCAACGTCTTTAGAAAAGTTCGTGTATATTTACAGGTCCAGCCTGTCTTCAAACCGGTTATCTCCTCATCGAATGCCCATAGCCGAAATCGCCAAGCTATTATTGTATAAATTAGGCCAGGCCAGGCCAGGCCAGAAGTCACACCAGGGGTTCGATTCAAAACCTTAAGATAACTCAGTTGTCGACCGATTCTATTTGATATCCTACGATTTCTTTTCATTTTTATTCCACCCGAATGGAACGTCAAACTGTCGTATTCGAAACCGAACCGAAATGACATCACATCCGTACGATTACTCAAGCTTCTCGACCGGCAAAGGCTACAAACGTTGTTCAGAACACAGTTATTGAGTGAAAGATACCGAACGTACAATTGTTTACAAAGCAAGAATGTAATATGAAAATCTCTTATTATTTTAAATTGAGTCTGGATTTTGTTCAATTTTATTAATTTATTTCAATGCAAGACAAATGCATTCCTATATTTTAGGCCTTTAAAGTCTTAAAAATGTATATAAAATGATTTTCATTTTAGAAGTCATACCGTGGTAAGAAACCTGATATTAGTGATAATCATTTAGTGAATAACCACGAAAGTCTTAAAATCTGTATATGGATTTCGAGTTCTTAGGTTGTCCCCAGTCAACCGTGACCATGGGACCTGTAAAGGGCCCGAAACGTCGGTTTGTTTGAAAAAACAAATATACGCGATTTAAATCCGGAAAAATAGTTTCATTCCTATGTATATGGATTTTCATTTTTCTTATAATCTGTACCACCTTGCTCCGTAAACGCTGTTGGATAACGATATCGTATTCGAATCGAACGAATTTAACTCGGAATGTTCTGAATTACTCCGAAAGCGCCCTTCGTTTCGAGAACGACATTCAATCGAACGATTTCAATTCGAATCGAACGATTCGCTTAAAATATCGAAGAGTTTATAAATCACCTTTCTATGATACCTAGTAAAGTGTTTTGAAATCTGCGTGGGCGTGCCCTAAGGAATTTACATTAGCATTGCAAGTTGCATTTGATATATAAAAACAGCTACAGTTGACAAACTGAATATCAATATGGTATTTAAGGAGACCCTTCATCTTGATTCGCTTTTGTTATATTTATTTACGACCTAAGCTAGAAGTCACATGGTTCACAAAGTTGGTTACACCGCCGCGCTTGGAAGAGTCTTTGTTTGTGGTTATTTGAACAAGAGTGCCTCAAATTCAGAATTGTTCAGCATTTCATTTCTATTTCATAATCATACTTCATAATCGAGATAGCAAGCTGCGATGTTGACCACATACTCATATTCTTTATTTGCAAGCATCGAGTATATAACCAGAAATAGAGACGAAATGTCATTTAATTTGTTTGAAAACTATTCTGCCAAATCATTACTGTGACAACTGCGCTCCGATTGGCCACCCCGAATTCTAAACAATTGACGGGCGTCGTCAATTGTTTCACTTCAATAGGACAAGTTTAACTTGAGCTTTTCTGTAATGGACATAACATGACAAATTAGACATTTAATACATAAATACCGATGTAATGTGATTCCGTTTGTTTTGCAATTGGATGTTTTTCCCGCACCACCGAAATGAACAGCCTCCCATTGTTGGAGATATTGTGTTTATTACAATAAATACAGAATATTTTTGGAATATACGTAGACGTACACACTGGTCAGTTGTTGGCGCTATACTATTT